CTCTGCGGAGATCGTGCGTGTCGAAGCGCTCTCGCTGTGGCGCCGTGCGAATTTGTCTTGACCTTGGCGAACCCTCTGCGGAGATCGTGCGTGTCGAAGCGCTCTCGCTGTGGCGCCGTGCGAATTTGTCTTGACCTTGGCGAACCCTCTGCGGAGATCCTGCGTGTCGAAGCGCTCTCGCTGTGGCGCCGTGCGAATTTGTCTTGACCTTGGCGAACCCTCTGCGGAGATCGTGCGTGTCGAAGCGCTCTCGCTGTGGCGCCGTGCGATTTTCTTGCTCGCGAAACGGCTTTTGGAAGTTGTCTCGTGGTGCGCGCGCCTGCTTTCGCAATCCCGCGGTCCCGGGTTCGATTCCCCCCTGGTCCGCGGCAGTTCTGGTTTGAAAATCGTAGTTTTTAAGTACAAACGTAGTACGCGGAGTGTGTTCTTGCAGAAAACTAGTTTGAAAGCATTTCCCCTTGCAAGTCTCCAGCCTGTGTTATCACAAAACCCGCAAAAACAACATGGCTAGCGCGGCTGCAAGACGACCAACGCAAGCAAATTCGACTTGGAAGTGCCTTGCTCCAGAATTAGGCTGATCAGCGCCACGGTCTTGCCCGATTTTCGGCGGCCAAGAAAGATGTCCGTGCACGCACAGGGGCACTACGGGGTCTAAGACTTGTCGTTCTTTTGCGCTACCTCAAATTGTGTGTCCAAGGCGTCCATCGTAGCGTCCAGAAGGGCGGCAAGCTTGTCGAACCCTTCGCAGGACCAAGCTTGCTTCCAGGCGGACAAGTGTCAGAATCTGGTGCGGCCGGAAGATCGAGAGAGGGTCTGCTGGAGTGCGGCGCAGGGCAACGCTCGCATGGGCCATGCCGCACAAGAAGCGTGCTTCTGAGTCCTGTCCACGTTGCGCCCCAGGCGCGCCAGGGAGCGCAGCGACCGAAGGTGTTCCTGCTGCTCCATTGCAGCGGCCCTTGCAGCGCTGCTGGCCGACTAACCTCGAGCAAGTGGCTGTCGACTGCTGATTCAGTCATCGAAGCAAGCTAACTCTTTCAAATGATGCCTTCACAAAAACGAGTGGCATCTTTAAGGCGCATAGGCGTGCGTTGATTGTTTGCGCGGCATTGAATTGCCTTTGTTTTACCCGAAATTCGGTTTTGCTTAGATGTGCCTCGGTTCTCTCTCCTACCGATCCTGCCGTGTCTTCAAGTTCTGTCTTTTGCGGTGATTGGCCGTTTGTTTTTCTGCAGGTTTGTTAAAGCATCTGTCTCCAAACTAGACAAGTTGTGGCCCTTACGTGTTCTTGGTTTGTTAAGACTTCCGCCTCCAAATCGGAGCTTGTAGTTTTCTGCATTTCGCCACTGGCCTTCCAGTGTTGGTGTTGGGCTGCTTTAATCTCCCTTGTGGCTTGCTTGTGTTGGTATCGCAACGGCCGCGTGGTTCAAAAAAACGTGCTCAGCAAAATTCCCACATTGGAACAAGCTTGCATTTGCGGATGCGTGGACAAGTTCAATTTTTATGCGAGACTTTGCACGATTTTCTCCTTCCTACGTTACTTTGTGTGCTCCGCTCCAATCTCCACACAAATTCACAGCCAGTCTCAACGCGGTTGCTTTTGCGTGGTCTGCAAGTGGTCGCTGTTTTTTGTTGGGGGTTGACTTCGTCCAATTTTTCTCATTTCGATCCGCTAAGATGTTGTGAATGACAGCTGGTCTCACGAGATCTCTCGATGTGTTTGCTTCCAAGCTTGTGTTGTTGGATTGTTTGGCTGGGTTTGGCTTTGTTGCAGTGTTCTCCTTTGGCTTTCTCATTCATTCTTTCTCTGCGCTGAATCGCATTACCCTATTCTTGTAGTCGTTTGTGCGTTTTTTCAACTTTTGTCACCTTGGAAAGTTGTCCTTAGTGTGCGATTGCGTTGTCCAGCAAGTTTGCCTGCATGATTGCTCTTGACACTCGTGTTCTAATGTTTGTGTTTTTTTTTTGCATTTCGTGCGTGTAAACCCGTCCACTAGGTGCACGGCTTTCCGGCAAAGGTTTCCATTTGGCAATTTTCCAGAAGACCAACCCCAGCCTGGTTCGCCTGATGTTTTGCATCTAAACACAGCTTTTGTACTTGTCCTGTGTCGATATGGCCTCCTTTCTCGGCTTGATGTCTTGAATTTAGGTCTTAGTTACGCTACAACATGGCCAACGATGGGCAAGGTCAATGGCTGCCAACCATGCGGACAACTGTGCAGGGCCGCAATTCACGGGGACAGTGGTTGATGAAGGGTTCACTTTTGATTATTTCGACACCTTGCTTGTGTGAGTATGAGGCTGGGCGCCGTGTTATCAGTGAGTTTGTGGCCAAGGATTATCAACTTAGATGGACAGTTGATAATTTGCACCCATGTAACCATAGTGACATGTGAAATGAAAATTGGGTGGAACCATGCAGGCAGGTTAAGTATGTCATGACGGTACTTGGGGTTCAAATTTTGTGTCCAAAAGTGTGAGTGCGTTTGTGTTGGTTGTTTGTTTGCTTTCATGATCGCAGCGTGGAATCTTGTAAAAATCACAGGCCTTATGTAGGTCTTAAAAACAGACTTTCTGAATCAGTGTGTGTGTGTGTGTGTGTGTCTGTTTTTGGGCATCACAAAATGTGAGCTTATAAGCGGGCGCTTTGTTTGTTGTTTTGAAACTTGGTTGTTGGGAGTGTCCTGGAACCTCAATTAGTGCTTTCCTTACTGATTTGCATTTGGAAGCTCCGGTCTGGCCGAGCTGATAAAATGCGTCCGTGTTTCACGCAGTTTTCCAGCACATGTTGGCAAACATTGCGTGGAGCAAGCGTTCACCGCCCGAACAAATGTTGGGGTCAGCAACGACCGGCAAGAATTGACAGGTATGAAGACAGCGAGTAAAGTTGTATGCGGGTTGCTGCAGCATTTCGGGGTTGCGTTCAATAACTGGGAATCAGACACATATTTCAGCAGTGCAAAGGGCTTGAAACGCAAAACAAACAACCCAAGTTGCATGCAGACTGACGAGTGACAGCAAGAACATGGAAGGCTTGTTCATGCTCGCGGAAATACATTCTTCACATGATTGGCAACAACACGCAATGCATGATGCTGCAGCCGCTCATGCTTTCCTGGATTTAGCAAAGAAACGTGATTGGACGAAGGCTGGCGTTCGGTAGGCTGTGACGTGTACCTTTGCTGTTGCAGGTGATTGATTGCGCCGGAAGAAATCCGGAGTTGATTAATGTCGGGCGCTCAGATTTGGCAACCAACATGTATGAGACTTGAACAAGAGTCGTTTTTGCGATAGCCGATGTTTTTTTCGTTTGGTGTGTGTGTTTGTGTGTGCGCGTGTTTTGTTTTTTTCAACAACAGAGCCACCTTTCTTGCTCAATTTTCAGTTAATCGAGAATTCTCGATTCTTGTCATTCTCTGATGAAGAGGCATTGATTGAAGCAAGGGTAGTTCACGCGACTTCCAAAACATCTTGCTCGGGCTTCCGGGTTGATTTGACAGTTGTTTGCTTCAAAATACCTGCTGATTCAGGCACAACCCTCCGGGCGCTTTTCGGCCCTGGCCTCATTTGAGGATTTGTTGGGGGTGGGCAGCACGAGGGCCGACCAGTGCAAAGCCGTGTTTTGACAACGCCATAGAATGACACAGAAGAAGCAAGAGATTCAAATGTTGACAACAGCAAATGAGAATGTACCATGGCAACGCTTGTCATCATCTCAGCTTATGTGGCACGAGGCATTGCATCAAGCGGCGGAAGCGAACAACGAGGAGGTGGTGGGCCATTTGGCGTGAAGTTGAGGCTTTCGCGCACGCGGGTGTGTCTTTGTTTGTATGTATTGGAGTACATTCATTGCCCCAAGTGTTTTGTGCTGGCCACTGTCCCTTTTATTTGGTGCCCTTGTCAGTGGTTTGTGAGGTCCAAACCAATGTAAAAAGGTGAAGGCGTTACCAGGGATTCTTTGGCGCCGTCTCTTTTAGATCTTTTTTCGACGTTGGGTTCGCTGCAACCCAGGATTCCTTTTGGAGCATCGAGCAGATGTCAATGCCAAGACGGCTTCTGGCCAACTCGCCGCCGAGACTTTGCTGACGACAGGGCAGCTGCACTTGCCAACACGTTGCTTGCAAGTTGTCTGTCGATATATGCAACATGTGGCCAAAGTCGCAAGGTTCAATCGGATGCATGATGCAACACATGTCCTTTTGCTGCGAACATACCAAATGGGCTGAACTAGTCCAAAACCCGGACTGCGAAAACGAGTGCGGAATCGTGTTGTCGAGGCTGTCGAGCTGAGGACTTGGCCAAGGACCCCAAGGTGAGAACGTTGCTCCACCACCGCCACGCAGAGCTGGGGAAGAGGCGCTGGAGCGGGGAAGGCCGTGAGTGCTGCTGAAAGTTGTGAGAACCTTGGCAATTTTTGGGACGACCATCTGGAGAAACCCTTGGATGTCTGAGGAAGGGTTTGTTGTAGCGTCATGGTGACTCAGGACTCTTTTCTGGCTGGTCGTGAGGGTTTGCGGAGCGGCATGTCCTCTTGAGCCACTATTCAATCATTGGGATTTTGGGATGCTTGTTGAACGAAGCCTTTCAGCATGTGCTCCCTTCATTTCTCCAGACACTGAACTCAGAGCTCTGAAAGTTGCCCGCCAAATCCGTGCTTTGAGCTGTAAGGCTTTGGTACTAGGACAGAGGAACATGAGCATGACGGGGCAGTGAGTGATATTTTTCGGAGCTTCTTAGTGGGCGCTTTTGCACAAGCAGCAGACGTTGGTGTAGCATGATGTCCCCGTTTGCATCCGAGTTGCACAGCTCCCAGAGCACAAGTGGAGAGATACACACTCCCCAACGCAGCACGGTGAGTGCCTGCTGGTAAAGGCAAACGGCAATGCCCAGGAAAATGATCCGTTTTTCAGAGCAGAGGGTGGCTTAGCAGAGCAATCATACCGAGCTGTCTAGAGTGGAAGGCGCCAACACGGCGCGGGTTTTTCCTTTGGCCTTTGAACGCCATGTTTGCTGCTGGCATTGCATCCGTCGTGGCTGCGGGGGCCTATGCCTACACCTACAATCTGAAACGTTTCCATTTTAATGCCGACCAGCGGCAGGCCTGGGCGTCACGAGGGAAGGAACTTGTGGCAGTGAACTGATGGTGTGGACATGCTGGCTGTGTGGCAGCGGCAGTGAGCTGTGTCCATGAGAGCAAAGGGAGAGACCAAACGTGAGCCTTGCAGGAATGTATGCACCACTTCCAGGACTGGCAGAACTTTGGCTGTGCGAAAGCTGTAGTTGCACTTGCCAGTCGGGCGAAGCTTCGGCAGCTGGCGGGTTGAACAATTGAGCAGCGTCCAACATTGGCCATATTTGTAGATGCTTCTACTACCTGGCTGCATGCGGTTTAAAGTAAGCCCCTCTCTCTCTCTCCTCATATATTCATAAGCCTTTGCAACCAGGTTGGTGGAACAAACAGTCAGCAGCCCTCACCGCAAATAAGCGCCATCCCTGGAAGTCCGAATGCATCCTGCCAGGACATGCGCATCGAGCTGTGGAAGCTCTTCCGCGAGGACGTGCGGGACGTTTTCGAGCTGACGCGCGCCAACATGGATAACTACATGGTCATCGGCGTGCTGATCATTGCCTCGGCCCGGAACTCAGACCGATTCGAGTGATCGGAGTCGAGTAAGGGCGGGGGGGGATGAGTGTTTCTTCAAGATCCGGAAAATAGACGCTTGCTTTATAGATTGGGTGGTCCAACGGATTCTTTTGCTTGAAAAGACCTCAGGACAAGCTTGCTGCGATCTCATTTAGTTGTTGTCAATGTTTTGCATGCGCATCAGCGCACAGGTGATGAATTTCATGGCAGTAGGCTATCCCACCTTTCCCATGGAGCCGCCTTGGCTGCTGGTGATATGGAGCCTTTGCTGCCAGACGAGGGCGCATGTTTTCTGTGCTTTGTAGGCAGAGCTTCAGTCTTTGTTTGAGCAGCTTGTTGGGTAGGGCTTCAATTTGCTTGAACCAGGGTGCTTGCTCTTTTCAAGGCCTGGTGTTATGTTGCATTATGTTGGGTAAGGCAAACCAATATGAAACGAGTTGTCAATAAAGCTGGCCACTGGCATCCAGAGGCACTAATGTGGCTGGCTTTGTACAAAGGACTTTCACCGAGGAACAACAGCGTCTTTTCCTGCGTGATCTTCGGCATGGTGGGAGTTTGGCTTGCCATGCATGGCTCCATTGCTGCCACCAGCGCCTCGACCAAGATCCTGACGCAGGCAGGGTTACTGTAGATGCAGACTCAGCTTCATTTTTCTTATAGGGCAGTCTTACGGCAATGGTGGAGCCTGAAGCTTGAGAAACAGTGAATAGCGAGCGCCTGCAGTTGATTCAGTTGATCGGACGCCAAAGCTGCAAGGCGGTGAGGCCGCCGGTCGCTTCTCTGCTGGAGATTCAGGGCGCTATGCGGATACAGGAGGACCAATTTGGACACATTCAAACTGGAAGGGTGGGGTGACGATTGCGTCATTTCCGGACAGTTGGGGCTTTATGGTTTTTGCTGCAGGAGTACGAGTCCGGTGGCCTGCAGAACTACCTGCAAGTACCAGCAGTATTCAAAGACTCGGACTTGCCGCGGACTGACCGTGTGAGCCAGAACACAGGCGGTCTGAGACGTGCCAAGTCCGTTCCAGTTCTCTCGCCAAAGACACCTGGTTGCATGGGGTGGGACGCAATGCGCTGTGTGACATGTGAATCAAAAACAATCCGTGGCTCGGCGGCTCGGCGCTTCAGGAAGGGTCACATTGAGACCGACAACGATGGCCTGCGCTGGATAGATGAGACAGCTCACGCGTCCGAGAAGGTCTTGGAGATGCTGCGCACCGAAGATGCTGGCGGGGGGTTCTTGGGCCATGAACAGGCACAGCGAAGCAAACACACGAAAACACAAGGACACAAAGGCACAAAGCCAGCACAACACAGTCACACAAGCACACAAACGCTCAAGCACACAAACACACAAATACAAGACACACAAGCACGCAAGCACAGAAACACATGTTGATTGTTAACTTCTCTCCCCGAGTTTTCGCAAGGAGGTTGAAGATTTGAAGTTTGACTCTTTTACGTTTTGCCCGGCAGGCCCGGGCCAGAGCGCGGCGCTGTACTCGCACTTCTGGATGCTACGCAAGGTCCACCGGGGCTACGCCTGCTTCGACGCCTATGCGCGGATCAGCTTGGCCGTGTCGGCGCAGCAGCTGCTGCTGGTGGAGGCCAGTGGGCCGTGAAGGGCGGGGCTGCGGGGCTAGCCGCGTGTTTGCCTTTGGATGTTGTGGTTCTGGCATCCAGGATTGGCGCTTAGCTTGGTTTCTCGCTGGCATTTTGGTTTTCGGTCGTTTTATGGTTTGTTTTTCTGCCCAAACAAAACCTCAAGCAAAATCAACTCGGGTCTAGAGATTTTATGCTTCGAGCTGTATGGCAAAGGGTCGGCAGTTGGCAGCCCTGAGGCCTATTACTCCCTGGGCCACTTCATGTCCAAGTCAGAAGGCAGGGTGGAAGGAGAGAGGGGTGGGCATTGACCCAGAGGGTCAAGGGATGGGAGGGAAGGGCCGGAGCCCCGTCAACCTCTCAACCTTGAAGATGTTTCGGTTGTTGGGGTGACCTTGCAAATCCAAGTTGGCCATCGCAGCTGTGGCAGGCTGGCCATCGCCAGTGCAGAACACTGAGGGTGCCTGGCTAGCTCTGCTGATGGGCGTTTTCGCCTGCTGGATCCTTTTTAAGCTGGACCTTTACATGAGAAAGCGGCAGAGGCGGGATTTTGAGAGGGAATCCTCTGGTTGGGGAAACGACAACAAGGGGTTCCTTCCCCAAAAAAGACGAGCCAACTACCATGTCGCCTTCTCCGACTGCTGAGTGGGTCGTGGTTCGCTCCTTAGGCAGTGGGTGCAAGCGGGGCTTTGGCTGGCGCCGTGCCTTACCGGCTTGGCCACGCAGCTCTTCAACGTCCGCACTGAGCACGGGGAAGGCGGGGGGGCGGGTCCCTTTTCGGGGTTGGTTTAAGGGCTTATCAGTGCTGGGACGCACGGATCCAAGCAAGGGGATGTTAGCCGCATGGGCGGTTTTTGTTGGTGATACGTTCCAATTGATTTGTACTGGAGCTTGGCAACTAGCGTACTTCACAGCTGTTCTTTGGGATATCTCTATGTTCAGCCACGGCATTCCCAAGGGTTGCCTGCATAGACTTGCAGGGATTTCTCTGGTGCTCTCAGGCGGTGTGCGGCCTTGCGACCAGGTGGTGCCTGTGTGGCTGCCATGGCTGGTAGCGCTTTTGGCCTGTGCCTGCCACGTGCTGTGGATTCTCATCATTTTATGGGCCCCTTGGCAGGGTGAGCTCGAGAGAAGTGCATTTTGATTTTCGATGGTTTGGGTCGCCAGGCCTTGGGGAGTGGGGGAATTTGCAGATCACAGAAAGAGGCAAGGCACCCAGAAGTGCTTCGGCCCGCGCGGCTTCTCAGGTTTCGACGCCCGTGTTGGCCCATGTGGAGCTTCCAATCTCGTTCCGCTCAGCCATCTACCTGGATGTGTTTGGCTGGCACAGAAGCTTGGAGCATGCAAGCGGTGGGAGGGAGAGCTTATCCGTGCAGATGGCACTTGCGCAGGCTCTTGCATGTAATTTGTGCTCTTCACAGAGGAATACCAGATTGTGTTGTTTACACGGGCAGCGAACATGTTGATCATTCTGTTTGCATGGGCACCCCATGTCACCATAGGCAACATTATCAACAGAGCTGGGTAGAGCCACAATCAAAACCCAGGTAATTGGAGGGTAGTAAGGGACAATTTCCAGCCAGAAATAGTTGGGGCCGCCTTCTTAGTTCTTTACATGGTTCTGGGTAGACCATCTTAATACCAGGTTTTGATTGTCACTCACATGCCCTCAGCCCGCCCTGAGCCAATGATTGGTGATATGGGCATCAGAGCTTGGGGATTTTCGCAGTCAGCGGCAAGGTCGGCATTTCCGAGCCGCTGCTGTGGAGAATTCCCAGGGTACCGTGACCCACTGGGACCCGGCGGAGAAGAAGGGCGATCAAATGGACGACCAGCGCAGAGTCTTCCTGATCTTTAAGGAGGCTACTCTGAACATGCTTGGACACCGAAGGCTACAACCTTTATTGGGATTGTAGAGCCTAAACCTTTATATGCATCTTTGTAGAACCCAGTTTGAGTTCTCGAAATGTCAAGGGACCGCTGTACGCCAAAAATGGTTCACGCAGGCCAAGCGCCTGACGCGGCAGCTGGCAAAGCTGAGCCGCCCCGAGGCCGCGCGGCACTTCTCCGTGGAGGCGAGCCGGCGAGTGGAATCCACTTGTAAAATCGAAAGGGGCCTCAACAGCCTGTACCAGGGAATGTGAAGGTGGGTGTGTCATTTTTTGAGGGTACCCCTTCTTGGGTAGTTCTATAAAGGGCTTCCAAAAAGCCTACCATTTTAGAGATACCCTTTCAAAATCACCCACCCATGTGTCACCCGAATATCATCTGGATGTTGGTAGAGGTTGGCATTTGGCTGCGTGTGCGTTCGCACGTTGAGAACGCAATGGCAGGACAAGAAGGGCATGGACCAGCTGAAGTCGGTTCTTGACGAAGAGTTGACGCCTGGCGAACTTTTCTATTCCAATGGTCCTCTTCAGCAAGAAGGTTATGCGCCGGGCTCGAGTTCATTTGTCAATTTTTGTGGTACCATGTGTGAAGAAATAGCTTCAGGACTTGCACATTTGTTTTTGTCCTTCACTGTGTAGGGTCTGACGGGTTTCCAGACTGGACGCAAGCCTTTCCGAGGAAAGACCTCGAGAGCCAACTCTCCATGCCATGGAGTCGCCAGACCTCTGACTGGAGTAGGCGGGTCTTTGACGGGAGTGGATGTCTCTTTTCCTCAGCTCCTGTTTTTCTGCTAGCTCTTGTGATAGATTGCGAACAGAAACTGGCCCAAACCCAAGCATTCCGCACTCCGCATTTTGGGCATCAGGATTCCTGCTTTCGTTGCTGACTTGAATCTGGAACCCAGTTTTCGAGTCCGACTTGCCACACAACTGGCTGGAAAGACCACACCCCAAGGTAAGCAAAGGCCAAGCAAAGTACACAGTCCACAGTGCACTGACTTGCCCCAGCCATGGGTTTGAGCACTTGTACCCTTGTTCGTGACGTGGACTATCTCTTCATTGTTTCATCAGTTGGAATTGACCAAATTCCTTGCGCATGGCGACGTGTCAATTTTCTTGTGGGGGACGAACTTCTCAGCACAGTGCCATTCCTCTAAGACATCTGCTAGGCAGTCCTCGCCCTTCGGCAGCTCCTGGTTGCAGAGCGCTTGCGACGACGGCAGCGGGACGTTGGTGCCCTACTGGGTGGAGACGCGCCAGGGGCAGGCAGGACTAGCCAAAAGTCAAGTGGCAGCTGGAAGCGGATGATTCTGATTGATTCTGACGGCCCTGCGGACGCCACTTGTCCGCTGAATGAGAGAGAACACACACACACACACACATATTCACACCTTCAAGTCGGGAATCGTTTGGGCATCCGGACAGTTCTTGGACCAGAGCAAGCATCAACAACTCGGCATTCTTCGTGCTGTTCCATGCACCTTTGTCAAGATGAGCATGCTTGAGGTTGTCTGCCGTTTTACAGTCTGCTGCAATCTTGTCAGAAGCCGACTGCAAATATCAGCCACCCACGCGCCCGCCACCAGCTTGCCATTGTCCAGTGAGGCCATTGTCCTAGCTGTGGCTTCGTGTCTTTCTGATTCAACTGCGCACATTGGGACAGATCAGTATCAAGAAAATGTTAGCATGATCCTTGAAGCTCAAATTCAAGCGAAACATGTTTCCTTGAAGGCTGATACCCTCGTGTCACAATCCAAGATACTGTGTAAAACAGATTGCCAGAGCCTTTGTGGCGAACCTCAAGAGCTGTAAAGCCATTTTGCCAGCAGCGATGGCGACCGCCCGGCGCCGAGACTTGCGCCCGAAGCCCATCTTTGATGAGCCTGCGCTGCGGAGCTTTGTGGTTGGCTTTGGGGCCAAGCCAGTGCACATGGGCCACATCTGGAGACACGTGACTGGTCAGCTGCGCGCAGGCCGCGAGCCAACGCTGCACGATGTGCCGCAGCTGCCGAGCGGCCTGGGTGCTGCGCTGGCAGCGAACTTCACGGTGTTGACTTCAGAAGTCATTCAGACCGACGTGTCAGACATCGATGGCACCATGAAACTTCTGATTCGGCTTCAGGACGGCAGCGAGATTGAGTCCGTGGTAATCCACCACTCTGGTGAGGCAGAGCACCCTGAGCAGCGTCAGGCGGAACGCTGCGGGGAACGCCTTACGCTGTGCGTCTCTTCGCAGGTGGGCTGCCGCCTGGGCTGCCGCTTCTGTGCCACAGGCACTATGGGCCTCCAGGGCAACCTGTGGGCCGGGGAGATCCAGGAGCAGCTTGTCCACGCCCGCGTCAAGGCGGGAGGGGGCACAGGCGCCATTGGCACCATTGGCAACGTAGTCTTCATGGGGATGGGCGAGCCGATGGACAACTACGATGCTGTGTCCTCAGCTATCCAAGGCTTTGTTGACCCCACGCGCTTTGGGCTGGCGCCCAGCAGTGTGACCGTCTCCACAGTGGGAAGTTCTCCTCAGAATGTGCAGCGCTTGTTAGAGGAGTTGCCAAAGGTGCGATTGGCAGTGAGCCTGCATGCCCCCAACCAGGAACTGCGAGAAGAGCTAGTCCCTGCTGCCAAGGCTATCCCAATTGACAAGCTGCTTTCTATTGTGGATGATCATGTCCGACGTAACGGTGAAAGCAAGCGCCTTCGAACTGTGATGATGTCATATGTGCTGCTTAAAGGGGTGAACGACTCCTGCGACCACGCTTTACAGCTCTCACGGCTGTTGGAAGGCCGACCGGTCATCGTGAACCTGATTCCATACAATCCCTTTGAAGGCAATATTTATGGCTATGAGGAGCCTTCAGCTCAGACGGTTGACAATTTCCTCCAGGTGCTTGCAGAAGCCAACATTAGGGTGTTCGAGCGCCGTCACCACGGCCGTGATATTGCCGCAGCCTGCGGGCAGCTGGCAAAGCTCAGTGCAGGTCAAATTCCAGCAGAGAGCAAAGTGCTGGACATCGAAAATGGTGGCTGTGCCTTAAATAAGGATTCTGTCCGCAAGCCGCACATCAAGCGACTGACGCGACCAGAGACCATGCGGCCGCATTTGCTGGTTGTAGGTGCTTTGGGCGCGCTGATACTGGGCATGGCTCTCTTGCGCCGTTAGGTTGCTGTGAGCCCGCCCAGAGATAATGTACAGTTGGGCGGCAAAAGATTCGGAGCTTGTTGTGCTGCCTCGTGCTTGGTGCTTGCCTTGGGGCTGGTTGCCAAAACATCAAACAACCCAGGGTTCCACTTTTGGCCTATTCCGGGGTGCTGTCTTGGGGTCAAAAAGTGGTAAGCACACTGTCCGTTCAGAGTTGCCCGGACATCACAATTTCTTGCAAGCCGTTGAACAGGTGGTGTGGTCCCGTCCTGATGGCCACATCTTGGATTTGATGCGGCTGACTGACAACGTGCAGGCACGAGAGAGGGCTTCCAAGAGCCTGCCTGTTCGGTTGGGAGCAGGGAAGGGCGGGGCAGGGCAGAGAACGGTGGGAGACTTGGTTTCATGCAGTGGTGTCTTTTTTCCTTTTTTTTGTTTGGGGAGTCCCTTTAAATTCAACGCCCTTTGTTTGCACTGGGGGTCCGTTTCTCGCTGAGAGGAGCTTCTGGACCGCATCAACACCTCTGAGGACAAGACTGACGCTCTAGTTGCCGCAGAGGCGGAATGTGGGTTGACTTCACGGCCGGCTTCGGCCCTTTTCAACCACCCACCCAACCCCCACCCAGACTCTGGAGTACTCCAACCCTAAGCAGACCGCATGCACTGACACACGCACACACACACACACACATACGGTTTTATGGCTGAGCTTGCTAAGCTCAGCATGATCTTCGTCCTTTAATTGCAAGTTGCGTATTGCAGGTTTTGGAAGCACTACAATATTTTCAGATAACGTTAAAGGCAAATTGCAGCTGCTTTTCAATCCATACGTGGGTTGGTCTCTTTGTGTCACGAATTGGCCACCATGCTGCAGCGCCAAACGCACCTTGCCAACCAAAGACGCCTCATCCCTGCAGGGCTTGTTTGAGCCGTCCCGTGCGTAATCCTGCATAGTTTTTGAACGCGCACCATCTCAAATGCTTCATGATGTCTTGTTTTCCCTGACAGCACAGCGCCAAATTTTGAACATCCATGGCTGAGACTGGCGTGCAACAAATCTTCCACCTGTTTTCGTGGGTTGCACCTCCCGCCCCTTTTGTACAAATATTCATCGATGCTTTCCAATGGTGTCCATTTGACAGTCACTGGCTCGCATCGCTCAGACCCAGTTTCCAGTGGGAACGGAAGGCGCTGCCCTTTGAGCTGATGCCGGTGTACCCAGACACGGAGGAAAGCAGCTCCATTTTGCCCTGGATGAGTTTGAAGAAGGTGTGCTGGGCCCAGCTCATCGTGTGGGGCGCCTCCATTGTGGTTGTCCTCTTCAACCCGTGCCCTGGCACGCCAATTTTCCTCTTCAAGCGGGGGGCTTCTGGGTGTGATGGTGGCTTTTCCGCTAGCTGAAAGCTGAGGTGTGGACTTCAGGTAGGAAACTGGTCGGAAAGTGGGTGTGAAGCAATATTCTGGAAGGGTTGTTGCGCGGGGTGTTGTTTGAGGTGACCATGATGTGGGCGAACGGAAACGGAATCGTGGTCACATTGGCGGTCGCGGATGTCAAACCCTCTTGCTTCTATGGCATATTGTTTATCGACCAGTCATGCAGGTCGGCGGTGTTTGGCGAAGCCAGAAGATCTGGACCTCGGGTGCAGGTTGCTGCGTGTCACACACACCAACACACACACACGCAGAAATTGTGCAAAGTATTCCACGACAAGCTCCATGGGCCTTTAGGCGCTTGATGTTTGTACCAGTTTTGACCAGACCTTGCCATTCGTTTGAACGCCGATAGCAAGCAACGCAGGGTCTACTACGACACGCCCATGGCACCGCGGGAGCTCTACAACCCCTGGGCAATCAGGAAGTTGGAAGTGGACTGGCCACATCCGCGCTTCAGGCGGCGTGGCGCTTGAAACTTTGTGCTTCTCAAGTCCTGCTTTAGAGCCATAAGAGAGCCATGGGACGTTTATTGCTATGTGCAGTTTTGAATGGCCCCTATACAAATTAGGCTATGGCTATGGCTTGTGGCTTTGAAGATTTCAGCTCGAATCGCGCTCTGATGGGCCAGGCCAAGTGCCCTGGCCTGCAGCACCCAGGACGCCACGGTTTTCGTGGGGGACCAGCTGCCCAGACGGATATGGATTCGTGAAGTTCTTCGCATGCCGGTCTATTTTGTGCATGCTCGGTAGCAAGCATGCCCTTTCTTGTCATGTTCTCTTGGCAGAAATGACTTTGGCACTAGCCACTGGGAGCTGGCTGTGATTGGAGTGATCATCTACCGAGGTTCGCCATCTATGGGGGTGACCTCTACTGGGCAGAGGAGCCGCTGGAAGACTACGAGAACAATGTGCGAGGAGTGCATGCAGCACATCATCACCTCGTGCACCAAAGGCTTCTGGAGACTGCGGGGCCCCAGTGTCCTTGGCTGCACTTGGCTCGGATGCCGTTCATAAACTGAGCTCCGTGTGTGGAGGTCTCGAAACACTACGTCCAGGGTTGTAGGATGGGCGGCTAGTAAAGTTGATAGATGTTGCCCCAGTTGTTTTCACAGGTTGTCAATTGCATTCATTGTTGCAAAGATCGCAGCTGGCAAGGCAAGAAGCCGGATGCGTTTTTGTGCGCGGCAATCTTCATTTCACACGTGTTAAAGACCATGGTTGCTGCTTGAACAACTTGCAAAGTTTGTCGCTGTATCAGCTGCTCGGCAAATGGTTGCAGTGCTGCAGAATGCTGCTTCATCAAGGGCATTTGCCAATCTGCCAAGTGACCTTTCAACCGGATCTCGCATCTCCGGTGTTCCAGCTGAGGCAGGCGCTGAAGCTGCAGAACATGACTCTTCACCCAGCCATTCCGTCCATTGAACTAGAGGCCCGGGCGGAAACTGACTGGGCCGTTTTCAAGGAGGCAACGTGCCTTGCCGATAATCATTAGTGTTGGTGTGAGGCAAGGGTAGCCACTGTTGCCAGCAAAAGTGCAGGTTTTTCATTATACGAAGATGGGCCTTGCCTTCTTCGCATTGACATGCATCGTCTTTGACAGTTTGGGTTTTCACGGTTTCGCTGCGGCCGCTGGTCTCCGTGCTATCATTTTTTCAGTGTGCATCGTTGTTGCCAGGGTGTGATTCAGAGCAACCTCACCATTTGTTTCCATTTTGCCTGTCCTGTTCACCCTGTGGGGTTTCCACGTCAACGAAGTGGAATTTGACGAGGTGCTTGCCTGGGCTCACGCCCTTGATGCTGCCGTTCTTACTTTCAGGGAGCTCTGCAAGAATCCGCCCGAGTTTTGCAATGTTTGGTTGCCAGAGTGGTTGTTGGGACAGAAGCAACTTTAACATGGAATTCGCCCATTCCTTGTTGTTATGAGCCTCGTGGAGCTTGCGAGCCAGGCCTGTTCCGAAGCTCAATCTACCGAGCAACTGATGTGAAGCAACTTGCTCTCATCACTTGCGTAACAAATGTTGCATGTGGCCAAAGAGTCTCGAACTGCTTTGGATGACCCATACTAGCAGTGCGCGACAAGCGACAAGTTGTCATTGGTCTTTGTGCTTCAGGGACATTGTTGAACCTTATTGTGACCTTGTGCTCTGAGCTTTCTTTCGAACAATGCGAGTTGCTTGCGGCAGGGCAAGCTTTTGGACTGCGCAGTTCGTGTGAGTGCGCTGGAGTGCGTGTGGATATGTGAGCATGCACGGGAGTGTGAACTGTTTGGGTGTTGATGGTCCTTCAATGCGGAGCCAGCCACAGGCACTGAGCATCGAATTGATAGCTTCCACAAACTTCTCGGGCGATTTAGCTTTCGCAACACAACCACGACACAGCAGTGCTAAACATTGGTTGGGAGCCATATTTAGCTGGTGCTCATGCACCAGATTACGCCGCAATCGCAATATTTGGAGCGCCCTCATCAAAGCTTTAGTCAAATTGGAATTGGGCCCCACTTGTTGCTGCTGGTCGGCTGGATGATGCGTGGGGTGTCTCGGGGACCCACAATTGGTTTCCTTTTGTCCGTTAACACACAATCCAAAGGGGCTCCCCCAAGAAAGAGACACGCATCCCAGCCGCAGGTGTCTTGGACAGCTTTTGGCATCCTGCGCCGAAAGGGCCGGGTGCTTTTGCTGGATCGCACCAGCAGCCGAATTGTGGAGCAGTCCATCTACCCCTGGATCCCTGGGAAGAACCCTGGCAAGGAATGGCGAAGGTGGTATAGCCAGGAAAGGGTGGCAGTTGGCCAACAGAGTGGGGATTTGAACAGGTACGGGGCCATGGTATGTGGGGCGATGCCAAACATTGCACGTTCGTTTCCGTCTTCTTGAACACGCTTGTGCGCCCTTTGGTGGCATCCTTTGCTCGAGGAGTGATTGAATGTTGCAGTATCTCTGACTTTAGGCTTCGCCTCAGTCGGATTTGCCCGTCGGTCGCGTTTTGTGCCAGACGCCCCTGAGCGGTGGCAGCTTGCCACACGGCACGGCTTCGAGCTGAGGAAGATTTGGCGTTTGGGGCCAAGCCTTCCGCACAAACGCCTAGAGGCGCTTGCGGTGAGCGAAGGTCGCAACACCATTTGCGCCAAAAGAAAGGGCTTCGTCAACATGGGCTGGGCAACTTGCCCGAAAGATGGGGCCGCCAGAGCTTTGTTGGAAGTGATTTTTGGATTTTGTTTGTTTGTTTGTTTGTTTTTTTGCATGTTTTGTGATCATGAATTATGTTGTTGAATGTTGTCGGGGGCAGGGGGCTGACTTGGATATGGGACACGTTGTAATTAAGAGATATTATCCTTGGGCAAATGCCATGCCATCGAAATCGGCTTGGAGACTTCCAGTCTCAGTCATGCAAGTGTTTTGGTGATCTCTTGCAAGGCTATCATCGCGGCGACCGACTCTGGGCAGGTGGTGTTGTTTTGCCCCAACCTGCAAGACGAGCTTCACGCGGTGGCTCAGCCGTCAACTAGCCAAGGAGTCAAACTCTGTTTCATGAGCGGATTCCTCCATTTGTTTGTTGGTCCTGGTGCCGTTTTCATTTAGGCAGTCGCTTGTGATTGCTTGATTCCTTGTCAGGTGGAGATGGTCGTGTCCCTGCGCCACCGCGCGGTGGCGGAGAGTGTGCCCGACATCTACGACAGCTACACGGGGTCCATCACGCCACGGCAGCAGAAGATCATTGGCATCAGCATGGACTCTGAGCTGGAGGCGCAATTCGCTCGATCCTTTTTTTATTATACCATTGGGGGGTCCATAGGAGGGAGATCTTTGTTTACAGAAGCTTGTGAAGGGCAGGGAAGGATTTGTAGGTCTTGAGAGAGAAACGCCAAATGACCCTTGAAGGTAAGTGACTGTTGCAGGTTTTAATCAATGAATAGTTAATTTTTCCTTTTGCCCGCTCAAAAGGGTCGGTGAATCCCCACCCAGTCCATCCAAACTGTCGATCCCTCGCCTTGAATGCAATTGTGTCAAATGTTGCGAGACATCCACACGTGTGGTGTCCTCTTGCCAAGTCCCCCCCCCCCCCACCACCCGACGAGGCCCCGTTGGGCGGTTTGGGCGCAACGCGACAGGTGCTGTGGATCCTGTCGCAGAGCAGCGAGGGGGACGCCGAGATCCTGCTGTTCGACCTGCGGGGTCAGCGGGTGGCCGAGAAGTGGGCCATGCCCACGGGACGCTGGTGGGTGCCAGGCTGAAAACAGAGACTGGCAGCGGAGTGGTTGATGGAGGGTGATGGGGCTATGAGTCATGAGCATGGTATGGGAACGTGTCCTTGTCATTCAAGACTCGATGTTCAGAAGTCATCCTAGAAAAACTGCGCTGGGAGGATTCTCGATGTGCGTTGGTGTCGGGGAGGCCTGTTGTAAGGCTGGAGCTTGGGAATATTCGCCACCCGTGAGCAATTTTGTGGGCCAGGGACGGAGAGTGGCAGTCACGGACTGGCGGCATGGAACGAAACACGAAACCAACGAACGCAACTTCCGATATCCGAGACCCGAAGTGCAGGCCTCTGCGATCTGGGCCCGGGCCAGGGCTTGCTGGTGGCCAGCGCTGCGGACACCAACCCCGGGGGCCCGGAGCTGTGGCGCTTCCTGCCGCTGGCGCCGCGGCAACATAGGGGGAGGGAGGGGTAGAGGGAAGGGGCAAGCCGCAGAGTGAGTGACAGAGACGTCATGGTTTGATCTTGCGTGATCACACTTCCCTTGCGAGCGAGGTCAACCCACTGCACCAGAAGTGGGTCAAAGAGAGGGCGGCTGTACGATGAGGGACCATTCCAGCAATTAATTTATCGGCTGACCGCGATTTTCCGTGCAATTCTATCAAGCCACCGGCTTTTATCGCGACAGCAAGCTCGCGGGCGCGAGAGAGCGCGACACTGTCCTAGAGTTGGGCAGAGCCTTGGACGAGCGCATGGCCCACTATGCCCAAGGCCACAGCCGGGAAATTGCTTCGCCCTGTCGCCGCTTCGCCGGTCTCCGCCTGAAGCTTGCAGAGTTTGTGCCAGGCACGAGCTGGAGCACGCATTCCTGGACCTGGCGAAGGTGCGAAAATGGAAGGACGGCATCTCAGCGGCCTCATTTGCAGCCGGAGCTTGTTCGTCACAAAGGTTCATTGGTCACGGCTTTTGGGGGGGTTGGTGCCACAAAACAAGGCCGATCATCGGCGGTTTGTTTCACGCAGGAGGTTCAAGAGATGCTGCGGGAGACACCGAGCCTGGCGCGTGCAGGGACCTAGTTTGCTGAGAATAGGCGGAGGCATTGCGTGTGAGCGTGTTTGTGGGCACACAGCAAGCCGAGGGAGATTGTTATTGTTTGTAGCATGACAAAGTATGAGCAGTTCGCGGGTAGTTGCTGACTCCTTCGTTTGGACACATATTCTCTGCCAATCACCACTTGGTTTCCGTTGCAAGGGGGAGAAGCGCGGGCCGTCACCAGGGGAATTTGGTTCATTTGGTGGACGCAGTTTAGCGGGCCAAGGTGCGCAGCCGGCGGGCCGCTGGTCGGCGCTGCACCAGGCGGCCTCGGCAGGCCGCTGTGGTGTCTGAGGTTGACTTCTGTTGGCCGTTGGTCACCATGAAACTGCAGAAGCAATTGGAAGTAGCAGTAGTGGTGGCGGTGGCCCTGATGGTGGTGCTCGTTGCTGGTTGCTGGGTTGATCGTGGTCCTGGTTGTCTACATGTTGTGAGGATACCGTCCTCTTGTGCAGATAAATGCAAGTGGACAAGGCCCCTAGTTGCCGCCCTGTTACTTCTGAGGCCGGATGTGTTGGGACTGGTTTGTTAACTCGACACACATGCTGCGCATTAATTAAGCAATAAGTATCTTTATTGATGCTTGCTACTGCAATGTTTATCAGGGCCTGCTTTGGATCCTGGTCACTCATGATTGGGGATTATTTGGAATCCTTTGTTTTCTGACTTAACAAGCGTGTTCCGCAGGTAACTACGTTGTTTTGCAAGTCTAGCGGGGCAACACCATTGATCATGACCTGAGGCGGCCCTTTTGCATCTATTCCTGTAGAATGCTTGTCCGCTCTCATCTCCATGGCGACGGCGGACTTGACACCTAGTGCTCCATCACTTTGTTGGCGGCCGGGACGTAAGTGACAAGCGGCGTGCAATCTCTTTGTTCAGAAAGGACCTGCTACATGAATCAATGAGTAAAAAGCAACCTCCGAGCGATGCTTTTCGTTCTCAGGCTGCGAGGACGTGGTGGCCCAGCTCCTCGGCAGCCGTGCAGACCCCAAAGCCAAGACGAGTTGCGGGAAGACAGTCCTGGAGGTGCGGGAGGGTAAGGTGGGAGGAGTTGGCTCAAAGGATACCGTTGGAGTTTCTGAATATGGGAAAATTACAGGGTTTCCTGTCTACTACTTGCATTATCGGGGAGTGGAGCAGGACTAGACATGGGACCCTGACGAGAGATCGAATCACAATGCCGCCTGACAGCCTGACGGCCTGACGGCCCAATTCCGAACGAGACACTGCAAAAGGAGGTTGTGATGGCATGTGTTCGCTTCATTGCTCGTAGGCACTTCAGTTGCATGTATGTAGCCTTCTCCCATTCACGGAGCTGAGCTAGCTTTTTGTAAACGGCAAGCCCAATTTGTTCGAGAGAAGATGACTGACGTCAAGTAGACAAGGCTAGCTAATGAATGTCTGGAGCTCGCGCCAGGTTGCCACCGGCTCAGTCAGGCGGGCTAATTTTTCATGGGTCGGTTCTGCAGCTTTTCAGAAAATGTCCAGGCAAACTTGCCCCCCCCCATCAGCCAAGCATCAGTTCAGTGGGAGGTACAATTCGGGTAGCTTGAATCCATTGCCCCAAGCAGGGCACAGAGTCTGGCATGAAAAGAGTTTGCGCAGCGAACACGTCAGTTTGTTGCAAGGGCGACTGGTGCGCACGTTTGTATTCCCAAGGCCTGGTATGGAGCCAAAATGCTCATGGAGATTCTCTCAGCACCCAATGCCTCTCCTGCGCTGGCCCGTAGAGAAAAGACGCAACCACACACCCAACATGATGTTTGCCAGCATGGAAGCGGCTCCAGGAGAACCAAAGAGGCAAATTCCTGGAGTGAAACCCGAGGCTGACGGTCAGTCTATTTCCGGTCTTCAATCAAAGCCATATGTTTGGTACACCAAACAGGAGATTTCAGTTGAACGATATCGCCAAAAGCACCTGGCAGGCATTTGCTGTTCGATAAGACGCCTATAGTTATTGGCTCGGACGAGGAGGCCGGCAGCCTTGGGCCTGTGGGGACGGAATCTTCAGATGGCAGACAATTATCCGGAGAAACTTGACTCACATAATTCATGATAAATTCAATTAGGGTGCTTGTTTGGCTTGGCATAGATTTGAACGTTTCCCAAACTAGGGTCGCAAAAGTCAAAAGATTACAACCTTGCTGGAACATTTCACGAGTCCAAATGACGGCTGCAAGTCGACGCGTGTGCTATTGTTGGTAACATGTTGATGGAGGAACGTAGAGGGAGCGCACAACCAAAACGGTTTGGGAGGCATTGCTTCGTGGTAGGTGCCTCACTCAAGCCTGCAACCATGGCTGGCACAGCCAGCCACTCGGCAAACATGCAGAGCATTCATGACACATCTACTGCGGATGAAGGACCAGGGCTACTGTATTGCCGATTACAAAAGACACGAACCTGGAACGTTTCAATGGCTTTTTTTACATCTCAAGTGACAGCCTTCTTTTGTTTCGCAGGCGGGCGACAAATGAACTTCAGTGTGGGAGCGTGCTTAAATGTTTTGCTTTGTGTTCTCATCCGTAAATGCTTTCTATTGCTCGAATGAGCCACGAGCAAAACAATTGTCGGTGGGCTATTCAAACATTCGAAAGGCTGTGGCACGACGAAGGGCAAGCGACTAAGCAGCCAGAAAGAGGTTTTGGGACAGATTCGGAAACTGGCATATTCTGACCTATCCACCAAGCCAGCAAGCCACTCATCGATAGTGTTGGGCAATTCTTCGAGGCAATAGAGAGCAGGTGGTCAATAGTGACAATCATGGATCTTTCCTTTGATAAGCATGGCATGGTTGGCTGCAGACAGCCAGTTTTCTGGACAAATACCACCCAAACATGCAAGGCTGCACCACCCACACTCCCAGTAATTGGCGCAAGAAGTCGTCAGGCACCTTCGAAGCGGCAGAAAGTAGGCATGGGGCCCGGATTGGTCGAATCTGAATGCATCGATTCATGTCGACTCGCAAATGCGTCCCTACTGCCATTTCGCTTCTCCCGCAGCTGGAGTCAAACATTGGCATCGCTGAAGGGTCGGGGCAGTGGCCTTTGGCCGGAGGACTGAGCGTTCCCGCTCCGGCCATCATCAAGAAGGAGGCGGGAAGGAACATGACAGGCGAAGGTGAAGGTGGGTGTTTGGAAGCCAATGTCAAAATGTCCTGTGCCTAGTGAGAGGAGCGAGATCTTAAGGACGGTTCAAGGAGGTCCGGTGTCTTGCACATATGCTTGCAGATTTCTGCATGATATCATCCATTGCGTTGGTGGATGAGGAGTTCATCATGCTCAAGTCTTCTTTGTTTTATTGATTTGAGTTGAAGCATGTTCAATGTTGCTGGCCGACCAATTGGCCCTGAATGTATTTGGGCGCCCATGCTGGCTCGGTTTCAACCAGTGATTTTCGGGTTCTCGCCGGCCTTTTGCTGCTTACAGCTAGTCGGGCCTGACGGAGGCAAAGTGATGGTTCCTTGCTGTGAAGATTTCCAGACCACAAATCAGAGGGAGCCTAGCGGCAAGATTGTGCCACAAGGATCATGTTGCCACGTGGTTCTGCGCATCCATACGCATTTTCTAGGCCCTGTGCAGATCGGAAGGTGGCCGTGTCAATTGTCAAGCTATGCTCTGTACACTGTCAGAGTTATGATGAGTAAATGTGGCCTTGTTCCTACGATGCACTGTTGCAACGGAGTGTCTGCAAGTGTCATTTCAGGCATCACGGTCTTAAGGTGAATGCAGCAATTAATCGTGATGCTAGTGCATATTATGTATATATATATATATATATGTATATACATATTATTTTCAATGTTCAATTCAATGTTTTTCATTCAATGTTTTCACAATGCGTATTATTATGTTCAATTCATTATCCCAACCCAACCTACCCAATCCCCTTCCCGGCCCATACTTGACATAGTTGGCCGCGCCGCATGGACGTTTGGTCCTGCCCAGCCTGCACTTTCGAAAATTCTTCAGCAGCCGAGTGCTGCGAAGTTTGCGAAACTGGAAGGCCGATGTGAGGGAGAGGGATGTGGCAGACTTAGGCATTGGTGTCTTTTTAATGAGTACCCTTTCAAGGTAGTTTGAAAGGGAAACCAAGAGGACACCCTTGCCATTTTAGAGCCAAATTTAGAGACACACCCGCATGCGCAGACTATGCAGTGGTTTGTGGCCAAAGACTCATCAGAGCCTCATCGATCTTCTGCGTGCGCGACAGGCCCGGCAAGTGGACATGTCGGTGCCGTGGACAATTGGGGGCTTCCGGGTGGGGTGCTTGGGGTGCTTGGGGGGGGCATGGTGGCCGCAGATTGATGACCCTTTGGTTAGCTGGTTTGATCGTTGTGGTCAGTTTGGCGGTACTGACTGGACGGATGGATCGTTTTAAAGTTTAAGACGGTTGCTTAATAGGATTGCTTAGCCTGATTCACATATCAAATACCGGTACAGTCGGCGAGACCGGTTGGCGGAAGTTTCAAACATATAAGAACTATAGTTCTTTTTCCCTTTCGTTTTCGTTCTTCTCTTTCTCTCTCTTGTCTGTCTTTTGTTTTGTCTTTGTCTTTGATTTTGTCTCTTTCTCCGTCTCCTTCTCTGTCTGTTCATCTTTCTCTTGTTTCTCTTTGTCTTTCGCTTTCTTGTATTTTCTTTCTCTTCTCTTTCCTTATCTTTTTCAGTCTCTTTGTCTTGCTCCTCTCGCTCTTTCCTGACTGCCTGTCTGTCGAACACATGCTTTCCGTTTATCATAATTATATTTGTTGTTTTCTTTTCTATTTCTCTACCTAGTCATCTAGCTAATGTAGTGTAATTCAATCTATTCAATTCTGATCTAGTCTATCTAACTTTCTTTGATTAATTGAACTCAAAGAGACAGGCGCCATCCTGCCGCGAGGCTCCCTCTGATTTGTGGTCTGAAGACCTACGGTTTGAAATTGAACCAGAATGTCACGGCGCCATGCACACCCAAAAAGGCACGCACGCAGCACCCAAAGGCATGCATGCAGCGATCCAACTCTGCACAAGGTTGGAATCAACTATTAAAGAAACTGTTGCCGTTGCAAATCCTGCATCAGCCCGATGGTGCGCATCGGCCGTTTGTCCACCAAGGAGCTGCACCTTGTTGAATGATGGCACCGCAGCCTGGCATCGAAATGTGTGACCTCAGAGCCGCTGGTTGCGGCTGTGCAGTTGTGTACACAGCGCGATCTCCCCATGTTCTCCTATGCATGATATTTGGACTCGAGTTGTACTAAGCCCAAAAACTGCCGAGTGGATGAAGTGAATTGCCAGGAAAGTCATGATGGCGAAGTGGTCTGAGCATTGTTCCAACAGCCCAGAGGCGTGCAGTCGCGGCCGTACGAATCCCAGGCAGCCTGCGAAGCTTGCGGCAAACCTCGGTCGGCCAATGCACCAAAGGCCAAAGCTAAAGCTAAGGCGCCGAAGGCGGGTGGCTGCAGACATTTGAGGGTCGCGGCAGAGGTTTCTATGGAAGAGTGACCCTTCGTAGGACTCCTCGACCAGACATGAGCTGGTTGCTAGCAAGCAGCCAAGAATGAGAGGTCTATGGGCTGCAAAGAGGTTGCGGCACGCTTCGGCTGGCATGGGTCCTCGCTCTCGAGCGCCAGGCGAAGGCGGCGAAGCGTAGTGAAGCGTGGTGCCGTGGCAGCCAAGCAGGGGGAGAATGCACACGTGAGTATGGGTCAAAGTAAAACTACCAGCAGGCCGCAGGTCCTTGGTTCCGTTTACCAAAGAGTAACAGGAAGCCTGCAAAGCCCGTCAGGGGTTCACTTAATTGGGATGCAGGGAAAGATAGGTTCAAGAGTTGATGTGCACGGCCAGATGGATTTAGTGCAGGGGTAGTCGTTACAATTTCTCTTGCAGAGGTCTGGGATACCGTACACACACACACACCCTCCTTGCAATTTCTGGCAACTGTAGCCATCACACCCATCATGCTACAGTACCGCTATTTGCAATTTGGACCTGCCTATTTGGTTATGTCTATTTGGTTGGAATCCTCAATTGTGTGGAAAGTAATGTACTTTCCATTGGACCCACAAATGTTAAAGTTTTGGCAGAGGGGTCAGCAGCAACCAAGAAGCAGAAAGGCAAAGAGCAGGACTCTTGAACGGGAGGAATTCTGCTCTACATTGCGTCATACCCCCATGCCAAAGGTAGCTGGCTTTTGTCAGGCGTCCAGCCAACCACCTCTTGGCCAACAAGGGCTACGAGGCCAAACAGGCGCGCGCATGAGTTGCAGAGAATCGGACAGGGATGGCCCTGGTGGAAAATGGCATGTTCTGGTGCGGCATGCGCGGAGTGGAATCAGCGGGCCACAAATTCCACGTGCACGTGGCGGCCTAAGGATCCCTTTCAAGACGTGTGCCTTTGACTATGGCAATGGAATGAATGACTCAATCAGATGACCATGGGAAAGGCTCCCGCCAGGGGAGCGGGCCGCGCCCGCGAAGCAGCTGGGCCGCCGCGAAGGGGGACTTCGTGCGCCTGGGGGCCCGGTTCGGGTGCGAGGCCTCTTGCCCGACACGGGGTCGCCCGATTTCGTAAAGGGAAGAACCAACTTCAGGTGAAGGGGAAGACCGCTCAAATGTTGTGGTACCCGTGCACCCGTGCCGTGTTGAAGAGCAGGCAAAGCCTGCGTAGCCCTTGGCCACCAACCCTCACCTGGCCATAAAGTCCTGGGCAAACACAAACTGTATCCACATGCTCAAGTGGTACACAGCTGTGTTTTCTGGCAGAAATAATTCGAACGTTTATGGCTTCACATGCACTTGGGTTGTTGCTTCACTGGCTGAAGAGGTTGGTAAATGCTGCTGCTTGCTGATGTCGATTCGCTGTTTGTCTGAAGCTAAACAGGATTCTTAAGATTCTCCGGCTTGCATAGTTTGCATTCTGAGTTGTGCCCCCGCAGAAAGCCAGTCTTGATCACTTTCCCATCTCTGTCCGGACACGCACACGACCTTATCGCTTTCCGATTGAGGCGGCAGCTGTCGGCTTGTGCTTGATGCCAGCCTGGCCCGAGGCTGGGTCCCAGTCGATGGGTCGAACAGTCATGGACCCTTGACCGCTTTCGCGACCATCCCCTCATGGTAGTCAAACTTGCCACAGCAGCTGCTGATGCAGTTTGAACCAAGGAGCATTCAGCTCGAGTGCAGGGTTGCGCCGAGGGCTCATAACTTCTGATTCTTGATGGTGCAAATAGTTCAACCGATGAGCATGTCAGAGGGCTGCTCGCAGACTGCAGGAACATGCACTCGAAACCACATCCGCACGACAATTTGTCGGGTGTCATTTCCTTTTTTTAGATTGACAAGAACTCTGACTCGACTGGGACGGGTGCCGTTGATTTCCAGGCCCGGCGGCGGCGGTGGCTACGTTGGGCGGCAAGGAGCTCTGGGACCGCGTGTGGCGTGTGGACATGCCCTGCGAGGCCTCGCGAGCGTTTGGCGTCGGGCGCGGTTGATGGGGAGTTGGCTATGCGATGGCACATTTTTTGCCCTTGGTCACTTGAGAGCGCTTTTTTGCTGGCTAGAGCGCTTTTTTGTCAATCCATTTACCCAAAGGTTCCAAGTGTACTTGCGTTTTGGATGTCTCTCAATTCAGTACGCTTCTGCCCTTAAATTGGTTCTTCAGTCCTTGACAAGAGCAAGGGCGCCCCGCAAAATGAAGCTTCAAAGGAGTTTCATTCCAAAGGCGTTTGTGAGCAGCTCGATTTGGGGGTGTATGGGCGCTGGTGCTGACATCCATGGCTTCAAGAAGTCAGCTACTGTTGGAAATGCTTCTCAGTGCCTGCAGAAGACGCGATTGCTCAGTTGGGAGAGCGTCAGACTGAAGATCTGAAGGTCCCCGCCTCATCTCAGAAAGTACTTTGACTCCCCTCCGCAAGGAGCACATGCACAAACAAACATGCCAAAGTGACTGCAGCAAAGCATGAAGCGTTGGGGCGGCGCATTTGTCAGGCTTCCGAGGAGCTGCCGACCTGCCCCATTTGCCTTGGCTGGGGGCCCCAAAGACCTGCCGTGGCTGCGTTCGCGTTCGCACATTGGCCGAGCCAGATTCCAGCCGTCGTTTTTGGCCTGTTCTTG